CTAGTACGGTGCACGTGCTTTGTACGTGTGTCCATTTTCATGTTTATATGTAGGCTAATAAGTGTGCATTGCAATGATAATTTTATGTATCTAATGTATAGTTTTATTATATAATAGTATTTCAAATTAGTTTGATTTGCATTAACACTTTATTAGATATCAAATTAGTTTTTCCAATCATAAAATTTATACATTTTATTTAGGATAAATTTCACAAATGCCCCAGATATCAAATTAGTTTTTCCAATCATAAAATTTATACATTTTATTTAGGATAAATTTCACAAATGCCCCAGGATAAAGCCCTCGAATTTTTAAAATGTCACAAACTCTTTAAGTTTTAAGGTTCTCAGAAAACCACATTTAAACCTCAAAAGCGTGAAACACAATTTTCATTGGCAAAAATATCAACCTGCATAATTTTACTCATGTGTGAAAAAGTACGAAGTAAGGATTATTGCCATTAAGAATGATTTTTTTGAAAATTGTTGAAAGTTTAAGGGGATTGAGATCGCCAAAGATCCTTTTTTTGGGGGGGGGGGGTAGGGTTATGACATTTTGCAAGTTAATGATTTTATCTAAGAAATGACCAAATTTAAGGGGGTTTTCTAAAAGCCTAAAAAAACACTTAAATACCTTATATTTTCATCTTTCTTAATCTTATACACCCCAAATTGTAAAAGTTTACAATTACATACCCAACCTGTTTAAACATGGCAAATTAGTATATTATGTGACTTGAATGTCTGAGTATTCGCATGTTCTACTCACATGTCAATTATGGCTTTGTTTTACCCTAATTGGTTTTTTTATTTATATTTTTACCTACCTTTTTATAATGGGAGGAGGCTAATTTCAGCCAAGGGTAATTTGGTCTTAACCCAAAAAATTTAACTCAATTTAGAAATTTTAATAGAAAAAATTGGTATTATTAATATATATATTTCTCCTTCATTACCTTGTTCTTGATCTAAATTGAAGTTGAGCTATGATTTAACTATTTTGCAAGAAACAACATTGGTAAAAAAGAAACTTATAACACGGGTTAAGAAATCTTAATTAGCTAATAATTTGTTTTGATAAATCCAAAGAGATGTATGACCTAATTCTTCGCCTCCCATGGCCATGCCATTCATTAGCCTTTTGAGATGATACTTTAGGGTTTCGAATTTTATTATTAATTCATTATTGGCATAATTTTACTAAACTAATAGCCAATTTAGTAATCAAAGTATTCTTGACTTGCTATTGTACCGAAAAACTTATGATATGAGTAGATATATGTGAAAAATAGTCTTATATCTCTCCTCTCATTACCTAGTTATTGTTCTAGATCGATATTCGCAATAGTTTAATGGATTACAGTAAACAACATTGACATAGAAGAGAATTTTTTTAAAATAAACCTAACAACTCAAGTTCAAAAATTTCTTACTTAGCAAATAACTTATTCTAATTTGTTTTGAAATACTAGTTTATTGACTCAAAATTGTTAGTACCTTTCCCTGTTCTTTTTCTTTGTTAACAAAATGTTGCATGATTATGGTTAGAGAACAAAATAGTATACGAAAATGTATAGAAACTTTAATTATTATTTATTAAATGAATCACTTATTTTTACAACATCTCTAAAAAAGGGCAAAAAATAATTGAACACCATAGATCTTAGTGTGTAGCAATGCTGATCAAGAAAAGAACATGAAAATTGTAAAGATCGTAGAGAAAGTGAGCTCGAAAATGCCAAAGTCGTAAGCAGCAAAGAGAGCTAGATTTGGTTCTTTTCTTCTCAATCTAAATTTTAATTACAAATTAGAATGTTGATTGGAGAAATTTGATAAAAGTTTCTTGTTATTTATAGTGATTTGGTAGGAGAGGAATAGTTGTAACGTTTTTTATCATTAGTGCACATAAAGTTATGTTAGTGTATCATGAGTTAGTGGAGGAGTGTTATGAGTGGGTGATTAATTGAAAAATTGATGGCAATCAATTGAGAGGTTATGAAAAATTGAGCATGTATGCCTTCATGTCTGTATACATGGATGTGCAAGCATTGAGGAGGTTATAAAAAATTAAGCATGTATGTATGAATGGATGTGCTGGAGGGCATTTTGGGTAGAAATGTTTTAACATGGCAACCCACTTTTATAATAGTATTAGATTTCCTTTCAATCAAACACCAAAACTAATTTTCTATTGACTTTGTTAATTACTTTAATACCCATCTTTTTACTCTCTCTCTCTCCTCTCTCTAGAGCCCACATATCTCAACATCAAACTGGGACCCACATACGTCAGCGAGCACATGGCTAGGGGGGTTGCAGC